GTGGATGTGAGAGTCCTGGAAGGAAAAGTTTGTATATCTGCTGGAACTGAAGCCTTTTATACATAATAAACATGTCTTTAGCAAGTGTTTAACATGTGAGTGGCCTTAATCTCCATTTGGAAAAAGTTACTATTGTGTGACAATATTATGCTATGTGAGATTTTTTCTTTTGGTTGGATGGTGGAGTCTATTCGGAGGGTGAAGATTTTCCCTAGCGTGGCACCAAAGAGGGTTTAGGATCCCTAAAAATTCCTTAAAGGTCCTTTACTCACCAAGTTCTGGTGAGTGTATTCGATGTTGGTTTGTGCACTGGTGGAAGGTGAAAGTATTTTCTGAAGAAAAGAAGTTGGCACTTTTATTTCTACAATTTAATTATGTTTTCAGCACATGGACTTTGGTGTTTTTGTTTAAGATTAAGGGCAAACACGAATAATTTATGCACCTATTTTATATGATTGATTATATTGATTAATTATCTAAATTTGCGCTGTTTATTTATATTAATATATTAAATTTGCCTTTACTACCTGGTTTTGTGCCTGTTTTTTATATAGTACTACTATTGGGTACTAATTATTACTTTCAGTGATTTCCTGTGATATTGTATATGTGTACATTCAACCTGGTGTGTCAGAGGGGCTGAGGTTCTTGAGAAGGTCAATGCAAAGAACAGAGGACCTATCTTATCCAATGGCTCCTATGGGGTATCACTACATATGGAACTGTTCAGGTCATGAACTGGGGAGAGGTAGCTCACCTAGCTTTTGCACCATTTTTACAATGTGGGATTTACAGTCACTATCCTATTTGCTTATCTCAGGTGTCATGCTATGGAACAGACTCCCACAAATAGAACACAATTTTAAGCTGTGGATTCTGGGCAAGAATGACCTTATGAGGAAAAATCATTTTTAAAAAGTTATACGGAATTAATGAAAATATTTAAAAAAGTGATGGGTTGCAACGCAATGAACTTGAACAAAGTGGTGCTCAGACTACCAGATTGAGACATGGTTATGGTGTAGATTTTTTTGAAGCTTCGGATGGCAGCTGTTTCCTGCTGTCCATTGTGACATCTCCCTGCACCCTCTTCCAGAATGTCACTGCTCTCCCACTTCTGCATCTCCTTTAGGAATATCCAGACATAAGCAATTTAAAGGCAACTGGTGTATATAAATATCGGAGAGAAACAAGTAAAATGAAAATTACGCTAGATAATGGGATAATGGGCAGCACAGTGGCTAAGTGGTTAGCACATCTGGGTGGTAGCACTAGGGTCATTGGTTCAAATACCAACAACAGCACTACCTGCACTGAGTTTGCATGTTCTCCTTTGCCTGCGTGGTTTTCCTCCCACAGTACAAAGAGATGCTGGTAGGAAAATTGAACCTAGTATGTGTACGTATGAATGTGAGTTAGTGATCTTAGATTGTACGCTCCTTGAGGCCAGGGACTGATATGAATGTACAATATATATGTAAAGCTCTGGGTAAATTGACAATGCTATATAAGTACCTGTAATAAATACATAGATAATCTTGGAGACAGATCATAGAAAGAGATTTGTGCATTGCTATAATCTTCACTGAAACCTCCGATTGTGGCTACTACTGACGCAAGACAGAAACAATGTGCTCAAACAATTCTGCTGATTTAGTTAGTTTTAGGGTTCTTGTGGGATTAATGGAGAAGGAGTAATTTTTTTTTGTACACTGGCACAGGTCCTTCCAGTTGCAGTGCTCAACTTCCCATGTCTTTTGTATTACAATAGTTTGCCTATTAGCCTTTCAAATGGCCAAAAATTGATATCAAGGTTCATTCCCCATAGACTTAAATGGTATTTGGGTTTTGGAAATTTCAAAAAGGATTTCATGCAAATTGAACCCAGGCAGATTTGATCTCTGATCAGATTTGAGATGGATCATACTTCATAATGTTTTTTTCCTTCTTCTAGACCAGTGATGACAAACCTGTTAGAGGCCAAGTGCCCACTGCAACATAAAACCCACTTATTTATTGCAAAGTGCCAACACTGCAATTAAACCTGAATACTGAGGTTTTAGTTTAGAAAAAAATACTCATATATTAACATCTTTTGTCTTAAAAGAAAAACACAATAACAGAGCTTTGTTCCACAATGTTCCACTGACCACCAACACAAGAGGGCAAAGTTCTACTGACCACCAGCAGAAGGAGGCAAAGTTCCACTGATCACCAGCAGAGAGGGGCAAGGTTCCACTGACTACCAGCACAAGCGGGAAACGTTCCACTGATGACCAGCACAAGAGGGCTAAGTTCCACTGACCACCAGCACAGAGGGGCAATGCTCCAATGACCACCAGCACAAGGGGGCAAAGTTCCACTGACCACCAGCACAAGGGGACAAAGTTCCACTAACCACCAGCACAAGGGGGCATTGGTCCACTGACCACCAGCACAAGGGGACATTGGTCCACTGACCACCAGCACAAGGGGACAAAGTTCCACTGACCACCAGCACAAAGGGGCAAAGTTCCACTGACCATCAGCACAAGGGAGCAAAGTTCCACTGACGACCAGCACAAGGGGACAAAGTTCCACTGACCACCAGCACAAGGGGGCAAAGTTCCACTGACCACCAGCACAAGGGGGCAATGTTCCACTGACCACCAGCACAAGGGGACAAAGTTCTTCTGACCACCAGCACACAGGGGCATTGTTCCACTTACCACCAGCAGAGAGGGGCAATGTTCCACTGACTACCAGCGCAAAAGGGCAATGTTCCACTGACCCCCAGCTTTTGGCCTGCTCTGAAAAAGGCATCTGAGTGCATTTCCTACCTTGTGGGCGCTTCTTCTAAAATCACAGTCCAGTAATTACAGTCCAAATAAATATATACAGTATATTTAATTTTCTTGGCAGTGCACTGACTGCACGAGTCGCAGCTAATGAGTCACGGCTCATGACGTTCATGCCTGGTGCTGCCACTCCTTTCCGAGCATCCGCATTGGCCCCTATGTGTGCCGTTATCTGATGCTTGGCTGCTGTGTCGACATGGCTAGCGTGCCGACAAAAAGTGCTCTGCGTGCCCGCTGCAGCATGTGTGCCATAGGTTCGCCACCACTCCTCTAGACTGTGGGATTAGAGTTCAGAGGATGCAAGCTTTAAATGTATTTGCATTTTGCAGAACAACAGTTCAGTCCATTCAACATTTAACATATCATAACACAGCACAAACAGTAAAAAAGTTAACAAAAATAATCCTACAAAGTCCAGATATAAATAGTATTATCATTATTGTGAATTGTTCAAAAAGTGCTCAAAGTTGATTATCTTCTGTGACTTTCTTCATTCAAAAAGTGCTCCGTGCTCTGTTCTATTGATAAAGTGAATAGGTGCTTCAAAAGTGCTTGGTGACCCACACCCCTATTATGTACACACTCAACAGGCAAGGTGGGGCACAAGAGTCAAACATGCTTGTTTTAATAAAAGATGCCTCCTCTTATATACTCTGGACTCCTTCTCTGTTGTTCCCAGTGTCTAGTTAAGGTAAGAATGAGATTAGACCTCCACTTGCAATGATATAAACCAGAGGAAGGGGGGCTCTCATAGTGTAGTAAATCATTGTATTAAAATAAAGAGGTTAAAATTGCACTTACAATTCAAATGTATAAAAACCGCCAAACATTGGCATCATAGGGTGGCTCATCTGCGATCCAGGAATCACCCTATTATATGTGACTTGGGTGTGACTTGGATGTAACTTTAATGCAATTTTGGATGGGTGTGACTTATATTGCGACTTTGATGCTACTTGGGTGCCAGAGATATTAAAGTTGGATCAATGTCGCACTACATGAACAGAACTGTCATACGTTCTTATTAGCAAAAAAAAAAAAAAAGTATGACAGTTCTGTTCATGTTGTGTGACTTTGATGAAACTTTCTGGCACTCAAGTAGCATCAAAGTTGCATCCAAGTCATGCCCATCCAAAGTCGTATCAAAGTCGCATCCAAGTCACGCCCATTCAAAGTTGTATCAAAGTCGCATCTAAGTCATGCCCATCCAAACGTCGTATCAAAGTCGCATCCAAGTCATGCCCATCCAAAGTTGTATCAACGTCTCATCCAAGTCGTATCCATTCAAAGTCCTATCAAAGTCACATCTCAGCCGCATCTAAGTTGCACCCATCCAAAGTCAAATCAAGGTCACATCCAAGTAGCATCAAAAATGCACATCTAAGGTCATGCCAAAGTCTCACCCATCCAAAGTCAAATCAAAGTCGCATCCAAGTGGCATCATAATCAATACTTTCCAATTGGCAAAACCCCACAAAATGCATCAAAAACACGGCAAAAAAGCATCATACACGCATTTTCAAAAACGCACCGCAAAATGAGCTGGAAAAATGCATGTGAACCAGGCCTAAACCTAAAAGCAAATATTTATTATATTGCAGTTTACCAATTCTTACATGTAATGGCTGCATTCATTTACTTTTTTTAATCTTTCTTCTATTTTCTGGTGATTCTATTTTCTGGTGATTCTATTTTCTGGTGCTGTTTAACCACTTGCCTACCAGTCACTTATACCCCCTTCTTTACCAGGCCAATGTTCAACTTTCAGCGCTGTTGCACTTTGAATGACAATTGCGAGGTCATGCAAGATTGTACCCATATGAAATTTTTATCATTTTTTTCTCACAAATAGAGCTTTCTTTTGGTGGTATTTACTCCCCGCTAGGCACTTTACTTTTTGCGCTATAAACAAAAAAAGTGCAAAAAATTTGAAGAAAAAAATGTATTTGTTTCTATTATAAAATTTTTCAGAGAGGTAATTTTTCTCCTTCACTGATATGCGTTGATGAGGCAGCACTGATGGGCACTGATAGGCATCACTGAGGGGCACTGATAGGCAGAACTGAAAGGCACTGATAGGCGGGACTGATAGGCAGCATTAATGAGGTGTCACGGATAGGCGGCACTGATAGGCAGCACTAATGAGGTGTCACGGATAGGCGGCACTGATAGGTGGCACTGATAGGTGGCACTGATGATGGGTACTGATAGACAGCACTGATAGGTGGCACTTACTGGTATCAATGCTGGGCACTGACTGGTGGCACTGACTGGCAGCACTGCATTGATGGGCACAGGTGGGTGGCACTGGTGGGCACATGTGGGTGGCACTGGTGGGCACAGGTGGGTGGGCACAGGTGGGTGGCACTGGTGGGCACAGGTGGGTGGGCACAGGTGGGTGGCACTTCTGGGCACAGGTAGGTGGCACTGCTGGGTGGCACTGCTGGATACAGGTGTGTGGCACTGCTGGGCACAGGTGGGTGCACTGCTGGGCACAGGTGGGCGGAACTGGTGGGTGGTACTGCTGGGCACCGATCATCAGGGTACTGATCATCAGTGCCCTGATGATCGGTGCTGATCCCTGCTCTGACAACTGCCGGTTCTCGGCAGTACTTTCCTCGTGCTCTGACAGCGTGAGGAAAGTGGAGCCGAGAACCAGCAAATGCATTTCCCGGTGATCAGCGTGTCATTGGACATGGCTGATCACGTGGCAAAAGCCAGCTGTGATTGGCCTTTAACCACATCACGTGATCAGCTGTGTCTGTAGGACACAGCGATCACGGAGATCGCCGGGTGCGCGACCCCAGGGGCGCGCAGGAGAGAGCTTCCTGGGAGGACGTCATATGACGCCCTCCCAGAACTGGCCAGCCACAGTTTAGCTGTCATTCGGCTATCTGCGGTTGGCAAGTAGTTAAAGTTACTAGTTAATCACTAGCTACTATTTTACAAAATTGTACTGGTTAGTGATCATCCAGCATAATGACAACATTATTTGCAGTGTGAAACTAGTAACATTTTTTTTTTAATTTTTAAAAACATATTTTATTAAAAAAAAAAAAAAAAAAAAAAAAAGAATATTACTTACGATCAATGTTATGTGTTCCTTGTGTTGCTTTAGCTGAAATATTTCTCCTCTGATCCCCACTTCCCCCTGCTGCCATAGTCTTCCAGTGTTGCAGGGGTTAATAGAGCCGAAGGACTTGTCATATGCACTCATCAAGAGTACCGACTTTGTTTGCTCTTTCTAACCTCTTCTCCATTTATTGAAGCTGTATTATAGTTTCCATTAATTAAATTCTATCTATGAATGGAGGAGATGGATCTGTCAATCATTAGCCTCCTCCGTTCATAGATCCTTTTTCATTTATGGAAGCTGTAGTACAGCTTCTATGAATGAAGGGCGCAGAAAGAATGGGCATAATCTGGATTCTTGGTGAGTGCATATGACAGGTCCCTTGGCTTTATTAACTCCTGCCTCATGAGAAAATGATGGTGGTAGGGATAGAGCAGGGATTGGAAGAGGAAGAGTTCAACTAAAGCATCAGCCAGCAGTACAAGAGACATATCACATTGATAGTAAGTAGTGTCCCTTGTGCTGATTTTTTTTTTTAATTTAAACTAAACGTGGGCTTTAAGGAAAAAGTTATTTCTTCTTTAGCTAGTGGAGTACAATATGTGACTCACAAATTGTCATATGCAATTACAATGACAGATGCAGACATTTTAAGTCTCCCAGCCCACCAAAGTTTCATCCAAGACATACAGCACTGAATAAGTAAAACCTCACTAGTTTACCTAAGCTCTTTTTGGATTCCTGCAAATGCTGAATGGCTTTCTACAGTAAATATTTTTTTTTGTTCGGGTAGGATAACAGATTTGCTGTGATAATTACGGGTCAGCATCATGTACTAATCAGCACATTGAAAATGGCCTCTTATTGAATGTACATAACCTCTTGGCTGGCCTCGACCTTAATGTATTAGAATGTACTTCAACTTTAAATTCAGTAACACCGCTATGATTAACACACGATGTGACTGAAAAGAGTAAGTGCTGCACATTTCATGTCAGTGACTTCTTGAAATAAAAGCATCAGCTATGAGTAACCAGAGTTATTGGATTTAAAAGTCAAGTCTGATGTAAAGAATATTTCTTATGCTTGCACTGAGAGCAAGGCGGCTGGTGAGCTGTCTGGGCATCCACATATTAAATATATTGCCTAGTTTAATAATATTTTCTGTACTTCAAATATTATGAAATGAGTCTTACTATTAATACACTTTTTAAAAAAATATTTTACATTTAACTAGTTGCAGACTTTGTGAGTGCACACACCCCAAAAAAGGTCATCATTGTACACAGGACGTGTGTAGTACATCCAATTTCTCTGCCTGTTTGCCAAGAACCCCCTCCAAGTAAACAGCTATGAAGGCAAATGAGGTTTAATGTTGATAAATGTAAGGTTATGCACATGGGGGCTAAGAATATGCATGCATCATACATATTGGGGGGGGGGGGGTACAATTGGGGGAATCAATGGTGGAGAAGGATCTGGAAGTTCTGGTAGATCACAAGCTTAATAATGCCATGCAATGCCAAGCTGCAATTTCTAAAGCGAGGAAAATCCTCTCTTGTGTTAAAAGAGGTATAGACTCCATAGAGAGAGATATAATTTTACCTCTGTACAAATCATTAGTAATACCTCATCTGGAATATGCAGTTCAGTTTTGGGCACCAATTCACAAAAAGAACATTGGGGAACTGGAGAAAGTACAGAGAAGGGCAACCAAACTGATAAGAGGCATGGAGGAGCTCAGATATGAGGAAAGATTAGAGGAACTAAATTTATTCTCTCTTGAGAAGAGGAGATTAAGGGGGGATATGATCAACATATATAAATACAACAGTGGTTCATATAGTGAAACTCAGTGTAGAGCTATTCACCCTGAGGTCATCACAGAAGACAACGGGACACTCTTTACGTCTGGAGGAACATCTCCAAACACAGAAAGATTTCTTCAAATTGAGAGCTGTGAATAGAATACCTCCAGAGTTGGTTCTGGCCAGCTCCATGGATTGCTTTAAAAAAGGCCTGGATTCTTTCCTAGATACACAGAATATAACTGGATACTAACATGTATAGGTAAAGTTGATCCAGGGAATATTTGATTGCCTCTCAGGGGATCAGGAAGGAATTTTTTTCCCTGCAGGAGCAAATTGTATCATGCTTTGCTGTTTTTTGCCTTCCTCTGGATCAACTGTGGGTATAGGATTATAACTTTTTTTTTTTGTTATGGTTGAACTGGATGGACTTTTGTTTTTTTTTTTTCAGCCAGACTAACTATGAAGCTGCGTTCCTTCTCTGAGTACACAGCAATGCTGGCTTTGATTAAAGTGTATAATGTAAAGCACTGTATATACATTAAAGGCAATGTTTTTTATAAACATGTGATATCTACCTACTCTATGCAGTGGTTTTGCACAGAGCAGCCCCAATCCTCCTTCTCTCAGGTCCACCATCAATGCTCTTGGCCCCTCCCTCCTGCCCAGTGCCCCCAGAACAAACATCTTGCTATAAGGATACTCAAGCAGGCTCACTCCCGAGTTGCTGCTCTGCATGTCCATTCACACACGGAGCTGCAGTTCAGCCTCACCGTCTCTCTCTCTCCTCATTAGCTGTGATTGACAGTAGTGGGAGCCAACTGTTAGGGAACCCTTAGGGAATCCCTGTCACTACTAGTGTCCCTTTTCAAAGATTTCCCCTCTATTTCTGTCCTGGTGACAACCCAAAATTTGTCATTTTCCTCACTTTCACTCTTTATTATAACAGTAAAAAGGAAAAATAGAGAGGATGAATCTCGATAACAGGGGCACAGACAGTGATAAAAACCTGGCAGGTCGTATTTTCTACTCTATCCAAAATATATAGGGGTAAATCTTCTGTCAAGTGGTTACAAAAAAAAATATTTTTTTACTTATATTGTAAACTGAGTTTAATGGTATTTAAAGTGGTACGAAAGACAAAATAAAAAAAGAAATATTTGATGCAGTATGTCGATAGCATTAACAAACATTCTTTGTTTTTTTGAGTCTCCATAATAGTTTTTTTTTTTTTAAATTGTTACTTGTTGACTCTGCTAGTAAGTCTGTTATTTTTCATCTTATTTTAACATACATATCTTGCTGTGCAGCAAAATTGGCAGTTAGATGAGACAAATTATTTTACAATGGTCAGTTTTTTTTTCATGTGGTTAAACCTTTATCCCAAAAGAAATATACTGTATATATCTGCTTAAAAAGTGTTAGCTGGGGGGGGCGCATGCGCGGCCAGCTAGCGGATGACAGCCTACTGCAGCAGAGCTCCGTCCGCCCACCAGTGACATTCCGGCACACCGAGCCCAAGAGAAACAGACACTGCGGGCACACAGTTAAGGGTTATAGAACCCTCGTGCAGCATGATCCGTTGGTGGAAAGCACCAGGGCAACCGAGGAAGCTCGCTAACTTCTTCCCAGCCCTCGATTCCTGTGGACAAGATGGCGCCGGCAGCATGACAGGCAGCCTCTCCTCACATGAAGGAAATAGCACAGCATACCACCCCGGACCCCAGGCTGAAAGCACCACTGTACCCAGGAAACCCAGGTGAGTCCTCTCCTCCCCTGTCTCCTACTTCTAGCAGCCCAGCCAAATCTAGACCTAGATTGGATACTGATGTCCCCTCTGACAGACAGCCTTCCTTTCTAATCTCAAATCCTGACAACAACTCTCCATCTTTGATTGATTCCTATCCTGCCTCTTACCAACCTATCACGGAAAGCTCCATGAAAAACATGCTTCTCTCTCTGCGACAAACGCTGCATAATGACTTGACGGCAACATTATCCCAAATCTCCAATACAGTACAAAAACAAGAACAACGTATCCACCATATTGAGAACAAATTGGGAGAAATGTGCACAGCACATAATGACCTCATAGATGCACACGCAGATCATGAAGCTGATATTGACCAAATTAACCTCAAACTAGCAGACCTAGAATATCGCTCCAGACGAAAAATCTAATTTCGCAGTATACCTGAATCTGTCACAGCGGACACCATAGTCCCATTCATCCAACAACTTATGAAGCACATCATCCCTACACTCACAGATGTGGAACTAGCCATAGACTGGGCACATCGAATTCCCAAACCATCATTCCTACTGGCCGCAATTCCCAGGGATACACTGGCACGCATACATTTTTATCACGTGAAAGAGAAAATAATGATAGCCGCCAGAAATCCTAATTCAATCCCAACAGCACATGCAAATATCAAATTATTTGCTGATCTATCCAAAACGACACTCCTCAACCGCAAGAAACTCGTCACCATAACGAAAGCATTGCGGAACACGGAATGGGATACCAATGGGGTTTCCCCACAAAACTAATCGTTAAACACCAAGGCAGGCTCACACAATCAAAACCCTAGAAGCAGGTATAGATCTTCTGAAAAGGTGGAACATCATTCCGGTGGACTCTCACCAATCCGTCTCTAACCGACCGCAGCAAATGGATGCAGAATGGTCATGACCTCAAATCGGCTTGCACTCTTCAACTCTCAACAAAATGGGCATTGCTCCATACACAACTAAAGCTGGCAAACTGCCCTGTATGGACTTCCT